GATTTTTTGTGAGAATTCATAAGCATGATGAAGCAGTCCCTGGATATTCTTGCTTTGTGTGGTTGGGCGTTATCAGGCATCATTATAGGTGATGGATCTCTACAAACAGTGCAACGATAGGTCACAATATTTTGCCTCAGTATCTTTGGCCATTCAGGTTGCCAGCAATAAAATGCACAATGTTACACAAGATTGCCGAGTCTAGATGCTATGTTTGCATGGTTGTGTTTTTAATGGTATTAAAAATGCACATTTGAATGAGTAATGAGCGTGGGATTCTAGATTACAGAGAATGTTGCATAATGTTCTAGATAACGGATGCATATGATACTGTACAACCTGTTCACTGCACATTTGTTGTCTTACCAGTTCAAGTTTCAGTGTTGTGTATCTGTTTCTGAGGGTTTCATTCTCTCTATGTGAGTATAATTCAGTTTATAAATCAGTCTCCATTTAACTGGTGTTTGGTACTAATGAAGGCAATTCTAAAGTTGACAAGTTTAAATTACAATGTCTATGTCTAAGGCTCACAACTGTTTTTAACTTGAATACTGCTACGACTAGTCCTAGGGTAATCAAAGATCCTACAACGCTTGCTAAACCATCTGAGTTTGATGATGAGTAAATTGGAAAGCTTCATAAAGGCCAAGGCTATGTCCATTATAGTAGTTCCACCATTAGGCTATAAGTTACTATAAGTAACTGGCTCGCGCTGCCAGTAATTACGCGGCGGGATATTCAGTGCACAGACCGTGATCATAAGATAGCGCGAATAGAAAATAGAATTTAGAAAATAGACATTGCATGTGAACGAGGGGACAGCGCGCTGTGCCGAAGGTTCGCTGTGCCGAGGGTTCACTGTGCCGACAAAACCGGAAAATTGGTCTAAAATCGGCTAAGTTTTTCCGGAGCCCCAAAATCAAATGTTCGCTATGCCGATGGTTCGCTGTGCCGAGGGTTCGCTGCGCCGAAAAAGTCGGCCACCCATCACCCATTGTGCTTGTTATGTAACGTGGCGAGCAGTGGCCTTTTTAGAAAATAAACGAGTTTTAAAAGTTCTCTTCTTCCATCCGTACCATTTGGATTTGTTAAAACTGCGCATTGAAGGTTTATCCTTATGGACATAAACATCTTAAATCGCTTTAAATAATCAGTTCTGTAAGTTAATTTATTAATTATTTTTGGCACTATGGGCGTCACCCACATTTAGGAAATTACTGACAAGAAAACATTCTCTAATTATTTTTGGCGAACTTGTTGTAGTTATTGGGTGTGTGTAAAATTAACATCTTTTTAAAAACAATCGGCATAGCGAACCCTCGGTATAGCGAACCTTCGGCTCAGCGAACCCTCGGCATAACGAACCTTCGGCATAGCGAACCCTCGGCACAGCGAACCTTCGGCATAGCGAACCTTCGGCATAGCGAAGCGCACCCGTGAACGAAGCCTTACTTCTGTGGCATCCTTAGCTGCTTGGCTAAGAATTTGTTTCAACTTGGATGGCAGCAGAAGCTCCTCTTTCAGCCTTTCGAGTTTGAAACTGGCCTTCTGACAATTGTATTTCAAGCTATTGCCAGGTGTCATTCACAACAATTTCATTAAAAGCTCAACATGACCATGTAACACATATTACCTTAAAGCTTACGAAGTTTCAGCAGTGGGCAGTTCACCACATCTGATTTGATTTCACCTGATCTTTTTTCTCTCTTCTCTTTCTTTTTGTAAAGGGAATCCTTTTATATTCATGATATGTTGGAGAAGAAGGAATCTGTGTATCAGATATCTGGTAAATCCAGTGTTACAACTGTGTTTTTGGTGAACTTCAACACATCAACCAGTTACACTCTGTTGTTTAATTTAATCATTATGGCCCCTTTTAATGGTAGTTGTAGTGCTATACAGTAAACCAGTAATTAGTATTATTTATTTAGTAATATGTGCTAATTATTGCTATGGTCATTATTACAATCATTTAGACAATATTTTGACATCATTTACATTTCGGAGTATTGTTTTTAGAATGCTACCCATTGTTTTGAAATAATTCATTTAATAAAAGACAGAAAGATCATTTGGTACCTTGTGTAGTTAAAAAGGGCAGATTTATTCCACCAGAGGACTCCACGTGCAGTGGTTATACTAGAAAATGATGTGTCATGATAAAAGCACTGATCACGGAGCAAGTTCAGTCATTATTTTTTATATATAAAAAGTTATCAGATGCCCTCTCTCGTGTTTTCTAGTGGTGCACAATTAATTAATTATTCAGATAATCTCAAAACATAGTGTTATGCAAAATTCATTTAAAGTGAAAAAGTATCCTTTGGAACTAAGAAATGTAGTACCTCTAAGATGCATATTTTTAATATACACCATAGGTTTCTGTCTATTGAAAATGACCAATGTATGTATTACTGTTCTTCACCTTTATTATTGTACGTAATCATTAATGGCTCTATTACTACATCCATGCTAAGATTGTGTATTCCATCCTCTGTTTCTGGTGAAGATCTATACATCCATATTTTTGTTTTTATTTTCCTTATATTATTTTTGTTAGTTCTTATAATTATTATTATTATTATTATTATTATTATTATTGGAAGAGGGATCAAGTGCCATGTACTTTTGTAAAGAAAAATTGTTGGACAAAAAGAAAGAATAAATGGATAGATGCAGCCATGAACGACAGTTGTTGAGTTCAGTTCTGTGCCTTTAAATTAAATGTTCAACTTTCTTGAGAAATGAATGTGTTGCTTTGATACATCATTAACATTACTTACAATGACTTTGGAGAAACAAGGAATCGTGGAATGACATTCATAAACTGTTGTGCATAAATCAAACTTTTTTTCTGTCCCAAAATTATACAAATCACGCAAGTTGAGCTGTTAAATTCAATTATTGAATAAAACATGATCTAAGCACATAAGTGGACACCTTTCCCTCTCAGGCTAAAGCATTCAGCAATGCAGTTGTTGTACCGTAGTTTCTCTACTGCAATCTGTCCACTGTGATTCGCTAAACGTGGGTACTGCAAATGAAGTACCCTAAATGTTATTTTTGGATTTCACATCAAATTTTATAAATAAACAGTTAAATTCAGATCATGGTTTAATGAAGCCTAAAAGGCTATTATGTAAAATATTTGATACAAACTTTACTAATAGATTTTTAGAGGTGGGGCAAAAAAATGGCAATGATATAGCCAACTCTTTAGGAACTCTCATTCTATTTCATTTTGGGTCCTTTCCCCTTCCTATCTGTTTCATTTTTTTCTTATATTACATTCATTTTTATTTTTGACTACATGCCAGTTCCCTTTACTCCTTCACCTCTCTGTCAGCTGTCATGCCTTCATCATCTCGGTGCATAGTATCCAGGAAAATGAACACACTTTCTTTATTCACCTGTTACAATTTGTATGTCTTCTAACCCCTATTACCCCAGCATGGGACCAATAAAACTGGTCAAATAATTGCCAGATTTCTAGGAGATTAAAGGGATGAAAATAGAGTTGAAAAGTAAAGATGAAGTTATGCGCAATCTAAAAAAAGTCGTGGAAATATTGAAAACAGTTGAGCAGTGGTTGCCGTTCTGCCAGTGTGTTCATGGGTTGTGCTATCACTACAGTTACGGTTACAATTACTAGCAGGCTTCACATCATGTGGGGAATAGGTGCAAGAAGTACAGGTTTGTCAGACGGGCAGAAAAAAAAAAAAACAGACAAGTAAGACAGACTTTTTGGTTTAAAAATGCTTAATTTAAAAGGGTAACAACTCTTCATATGAGGTTCAAAATTCCACATTAAACACATTATAGATAACATACAGAAATATAATATATTCCATTTTACCACCATAGTGGTGGTTATTGTAGTTCTAAAATATGTTTGCCATCATAACACATGAACCTTCATAAATTTCTACCCTGTGCAATAATCTTTTTAGAGATTGTTTCAAAACAAACACTTGAAAAAAAAAGACAAACTTTGAATGTCGGAAAAGAGTCATTAACCATTGTTAAATATGGAAACGTAGTCTTTTACCCCAGGAAAATATGTTTTATGGCACTTTTCCTGCCAAAATGGAGAGCTGTTATCCCTTTAAAAGTCCTCCATATTGTTGTAATGTTATTTAGAGTTCATATATTGTGTGTTTGTTTAAAATCTCACCAACTGTCTTACAAGAGAACATGTTTTTATTTCTTGTTTGACCACATTCCTGAGATAAAAATGTTATTTCTGTTAACAGGTTGATACCACCCAGACCTGACCAGGAACCAGTGTCCACTAAGACCAATGGCTTCAAAGCTGACCATACAAACTTCATCTGGAATAGATTTTCCAGAAGTTTTTACTCGGAGTCTTCAAATTCTTTTATTAACTGCCTGGCTTAATATTTTACTCGGTAGTTCACAGATGCGATATTCAAAATGATGTAAAATTCCATTCTTCTTCTTGTATTTTTGCATATTTGTCCATTACCCAAGTCTCCAATTATGATATCAAATTTTTAAATATGAAATTATGTGTACATATTTCAAACCAAAAACACACCCAATATTAGTGTTCATTCCAAGTAGTTAGGGTAATTTTTTGCCTATTTCGTGATATGTTCAAAATGAGAAGAACAAAAAATTAGAAAGGATATGTACCTAATGTTAAATAGACTGTGTGTGTGTGTGTAAAAATGTAAATATGTTGTCCATAAAAAACACAGTAGGTATGTAAATATTTGGTTTACTTTAATGATAATGAATCAAAATGATCTTATTACTACCACCAATTCAACATTGGTATTTTAAATGCCTTTCTTTCTTTAAAACAAAAGAAAAGTTGATGATTTCAGCATTTTCAAATGCCACCAAAAAGGTTGGTTTTGTTAGCAGGTCCCAAGGTTCTGGACTTCAACATTCCATCCTCCCTCACAGCGGTAATGGACTTTTCCATCACAGCCAATGAAGCCGAGAATTTCCTCCAACTTGGTGGAGATACAGGACCACCCCTTCTCAGTGGCAGGGAAGCACTCGTCACTGATTTCATCCTACCAGCTCAAGACACTGTAACAGAAAGAAAGAGCAGAAAGGTAGTGTTTTTATGTTTTTGCTTGTTTCATGACATTCCTAACCTTTGCATAAATTGATGTTTTTTTTTTTATTTTTTTTTTTTTTTATTATTATTTTTTTATAATAATCTCGAAATCTGTTTTAAAGTTTTTTTCCATTTGAGTTTTATATCTGTTTATTCATCTTAAAATACAGGTTGTAAGTTGATTTCTTTTGTTAAACCTATTTTATAGATTATTTGAATAAGTATTTTACCAACATCCAAGTAAGTCAGAAAAAAAGAAAAAGGAGTTCACCAATGGTGTCACAAGAAATAAGTAAATACTACACTTTTCTATAGATGATAATCTGTTTGATGACTACAGCCTTTTTCATTTTATTCCTCTGGGAAACTTTACTTTAGGCCATGCAAATATTTGTATACTTTTTGTTTTAAAAAGGGATGTAAGCTGAACACTACATATTTAAGTCTGCCATGTTTAACACATAAACAACACATATTTGGTGTATTTAGTATGTGTGTGTTTGCAAGATCAGACCCCTGCTCATAACTCTGATCAGCTGTTAATTAGGTGTATAAATGGGCATCCAAAATATTTACTCAGAATACCCACCACTATTTCCTGTGCATTGTTTGGGGGTTTGGAGATAATCCTCAAGTTATAAGATAAACAAAATTAACATTCTGAACATCTGTCTGGTCTCAAGTGTTATCAATCTTTAAACAATGGTTTATGAGCTGGTAATTTGGTTTTTGTCTCCATATTGTTTTCCTGTGGAGATGTTTGAGATCAGTTTTCAATATCTGTTTGTTGTAATGGGGGTGGTGACTTCTGGTATGTCTGACCTGGTCATAGGGATCCTGAGGATATGATGGTTTGATTATAGGTTTCACATGATCACAAGCTGAACACTTTTTAAACCTTTTATTTTTAAAAAATCTTATTTTGAATTTTTTTTTATTTTTTGTATTTCAGGACCATCCCAAATTAGAGCATCTTGTGGATCAAAATTTAGGCTGCAATCAACCAGTGATCTGATAGCAAGTGAGTAGAATAAAT